TCAAAACTCAAATCCATTTTTATTAAGTTCTTGTAAAACTCAGTTATCTGATCAGTATTCATAGATGTTATCTGCTGCATTGATAAAAAGGAAAATGTGGGCCAGTGAGATGGCTCAATGAGTAATGGTTCTTGCCTAACAAACCTGGCAACCTGATTTCAATACCTAGAACCTACATAGAAGTGAAAAGAGAGAACTGACCCTCAGGGTTATCCTTTGACCTCTGCAATGCACACCCCCCCCATTCTGCACATACACATACATAGTGATAAATTAATACATTTGTGGTGTTTTAAACGAGAATGTCCCCATAGGGTCCAAGTATTTGGACATTTTGCCCCCACTTGGTGGCTCCCAGTTCTGGGAGACTTGAGGAGGTATGGCCTTGCTGGAGGAAGCATGCCACTTGGGGCCGGCTTTGAGAGTTGTTAAACCAGTCTTTGCTTCCTGTGCCTGTTTGAAGATGTGACTGCTCGGCTTTCTGCTCCAGGCACCTTCTGCTGAACCCCCCCCCCCCGCCACCCATTATGGACTCTAACCTTCTGGAACTATAAGCACAAATAAACTCTTCCTTTTACTTAGTGTTTTTAACACAGTAACAGAAAAGTAACTAATCCAATTTGTTTATTTATTTAGTATATGAATGCTTTGCCTGCAAGCAAGTAAGTGCACCACGTGTGCAGTGCCCACAGAGGTTGAAAAAGGGCATTGATCCCTTGGAACTGTAGTTAGGGATGATTGTTTGCTGGAAACTGAACCGAGGTCCTCTGCAAGAGCAACCAGTGCTCTTAAATGTTGAGTCATCTCTCCAGCTCCAAACAAATGTATTTTTAAAAAGTAAAATGTAACACAACAATCTTTGTTCTTAGTACATCAAGACTGCCAGAGAGATTTAATAAATGTGCCTATTTAATGTGGTCCCCAACAGTCTGAAAGTTACAGGCTTATTTCCAGTTATTAAACCTACAAGAAGGCTTCAAAATTAAGCAAATGTTTCAACTATTCAATATTTTTGTAACTGCTTCACTGAATTTGCAAAGTTGTAGTCTTACCTTATCTCAGTTAAAACTTTCAAAAGTTCTTGAGTGCTTGTTTAGAGGTTCTAGAGGAGAACTCAGCTATTTCTAAAACTTTGAAGTTCCTCCTCTTTTGGGGAATATCATCCAACCCCATGCGTAGCCTTGAGAGGGACTCACATGGAGCAAGGGGGCATCTGCCTAGCCAGCCACAACAGCTGAATCAACCCTGGAGATAAGTGGGGTGACAGATATCCCAGCCACATTCCACATCCAAAGGTTTGAAAATTTCTTAATTTTTCTTCTGACTTTCTAAAATAATGCAGAATTGTCAGTCTTGGTTTTTGCCCCCACCAAATGTGATTAAATGGAGCTACAGATCTTGAGTGTTTTGAGGGGAAGCAATAACCACCATATGCTAATTTTTCTATCAATGAGTATATAAACTTATATTGAGTTCCAATTATTCATTTTACAATTCCACAAAGTTTAATACAAGTTCATATGGAAGAATAAAACTTAAAAACAAAGGATGTTCTAAAGAGAAAAATAGTAAAATGGGCTTCCTTTAACCAACATGAACAGTTTATGTTGTTCTATTCACTAGACCTGGTATTGGCTTAAGAACAGGCCAGTCAGTCAGTGGTAGGAAAAGGCCAGGCTGCAGACTCCCACCTGGATGAGAACGCAGCATCTCACAAGGGGGCCTCGGTTCACTGGGAGAACATCTTTTTTAAAAAAAATTTTTTTTGTCCAACTATTTTAGAAGAAAATTAAGTTGACTTGCATTCTTATATCATATATAAAAATAAATTACAGCCGGACATAGTGGGACATGCTTTTAATCACAGCACTTGTGAGGCTGAGGCAGGAGGATCATGATGAGTTTGGGCTACATTATGAATTCAAGTTCTGCCTGGGGTACCTGGGAAGACCCAGTTATAATAAAATAAACAAAACAAAACAAAACACCAAAAAACCCCCAACAAATACCTTGTAGATGGGTTAAAAGTTAAATGTTCAAGGTAAAAGAAGATGTAGGGTTATTTTTAGACCAAAACAGGAAACCTAGAAAGTAGAAACTATAGACATATTTCATCAGGGAACAACTGTTTTTTAAATGATAAAACATCCAGTAATTGCGAGAAATAGGAAACAGCTTGCAAATAATATTTGTACTGTAAAAAATGGATGAAAAATTAATATGCATGATATCTATACTATACAGTCTTTTCCAAATAAGAACAAGAAAAGGAGCAATATAGATAATTCAAAGAAGAAATCCAAATGACCCCTGTCATATCTTAAAATGTTCAGATTCCTTAGTAATCAGAAATTTCAGAAGAGATAGCCAGGAGCCAATGCCCAGCAGAAGCAGAGATGCAAACATGCATCAGGGCCAGGCAGGGCCTACTGCCATAGGAGCTAAGCCTTCGCACATGAGCTGTTTGGGGGACACTCCATATCCAAACCACGGCGGCAGAACTACACTTTGTTTTCCTTTTGTGTGCTGTTTATCTGGCTTGTACTTCACATTTTTTTCTATAATTACAACATAGTAATTACAATAATTTTATAAAATTACTTATTTTTAAAAAAACTCTATCCCTTTCCAATCAGGTTCTTGAGGATCGTGAACAAATCTTGTATTTCTTTTTTCTCTAATACTATTAACCACAGTGCCTAGCAAACAGAAAGAGCTCAGTTAATATTTCCAAAATGAAATCACAATACTTCAAGAAAAAGCCATAGGACAAAAAATAGAATGCTTGTTATAACTATTTCCTTGGGATGGATTTTTAATAGAACATTATCAAACACCTAATTCATAATCTATTACAGGTAATAGTATTCCCTGGTTCTCAGCATACTGAGTTTACTAGTCATCTTCAACAAAAGGCTTAATCTAAATGGAAGAATAAAAAGAATAGTTTTCAATATTTCCTTTAAAAGGATTATTGTATTATTTAAAAAGGAGCATATGGATTTACTTCTAATCCAAAATACAGAATAATACTGGGCTAGAGGCATCCAAATTTGAATTAGGTTAAGTGGCAAAAAATTGATATGGATTGTAGGATACCATTATTACTAAATGTAGACATGTGATTACATGGCTTTTTCCTTCAGAAAAGACTTATTTAGACAGCTGAAAAGAACCTGTAGGACACGTTTAATCTTTTTGACTAGATCTCAAAGATTATCAGAAAGGAATATCTTAATTTGGTGCTTTGACAAACCTTTGATTCAGATTTTATACATGAAACAACAGATTTCATAATTTGTGATTGCAAACAATGTTATTTTACTGAAAAGTTGTCCAAAGAATGATTCAATAGTATTATGTAGAGTGTGGTGGTTGGTATGGAAGTATTTTACATTTCTCTGCTATCATGTAAATGACCAAGCACTTTCAATTATGAAACCAATGAGTTCAAAGATATCTGTATCATAAGAAACTAATAATATATGTTTTAAATCTCTTGTGTAAACTATTTCACTATAATGCAATGTTGGTTTTAAATGTCTAATATACAGAGATTCTCTAGTAAATATGAGTGTACTGTAAGACCAAATAAGTGTTTTGACTGAAAGGGTTCTTCAAAAAAAATATCTTTGAACATGAAAGCAGGTGCCTACAGGGTCCAGAAGAGGATGCTGGATCCCCTGGAGCTGGAGTTAGAGGTGGTTGTGAGTTGCCTGACATAGGCTCTAGGAACTAAACTTGGGTCCTGTATTGAGCAGTATTCATTCTAAAACACTGTTATCTCTGCCCCCCCACAAAGGCTCTTTAAATTATTTATTTCTCTACTTTTAAATTTGTTGACCAAATCCAATTTCTTTCTTGGACTCACATAGTTCAGTAACTCTGCTATTCTACACCCTATGCACCCCGGGAGTCCGGGGCCACCGTCACTGTCTTCTGTACTACCTTCCCTTTTTTGTAGCTATCGGGGGTTTCCTTTTCTGTCTGCTGAGGCGCCTCATGAGGTAATACTCAGGCTCAATCTTACTGGAAGTCACAAAAATGTATCTGAGGTTTAACTCATTTTTTCTTGTCAATTATTTCTGCGCAAATAAGCTTTGCTGAAGTTATTTTCATCAAAAACTTCTCATTGCATATTTTAAGTTTTTCCTACATTTTATGTCTATGAGTATTTTCCCTGCACATATGTTAAGTGTATCCATGCTGTGCAATGCCTACAGAGGCCAGATGAGGGTGTCGGATCCCCTGGAGCTAGTCACCAACAGTTTTAGCCACTATGTGGGTACTGGGGACCGAACCCAGGTCATCTGCAAGAGTAGCCAGTGTTCACTGAGCCGTCTCTCCAGCCCCTCACTGCATGTTTTGTCACTGGAGTTTGAATGGTTTTCTTTGACTTTTACAGAAATGCTGCACTTCACTGCCCTTCCCCACTCTTTCCTTTCCATTTTCTTTTGAGATGGGATCTGGCTATGTTGCACAGGCAGGCCTCAAACTCTGGGCTCAAGCAATCCTGCCCTCAGCTATCTATGCTTAGCAACCTTTCTAATATTTTCTAATAAGGCTTATGAAGAATTCTAGGAAACACAAATTAATTTATAAAAATATTTCATCAAACTTATGCCTTATTTAAAATGAGAGCGCCAATGTTTAGTATATCAAGTTTTATGGCAAAGTTAAATAAATATGCAAGAGCAAAAACGGCTATTGTGCAAAGTGAAGACTCCTGTCTGGCCGATGGGAAAGGCTCCCTGTCACCTTATTAGAGCCATTTGGACATGAAGCACAGGGTCAAGGAGACACAGGGAAATGCCCATTTTTTTGAAAAAAGACAAGATCTATTTATTTTTATTTTCTGAGTGTTTGCCTGTATGTACATATGTGTACATGTGTGCAGTGTCAACAGAGGCCAGAAGGTATCAGATTCCCCTGGAACTGGAGTTATAGACAGTTGTCAGCCACCATGGGGGTGTCGGGAACTGAACCCGGGTCCTCTGCAAGAGCAGCCAGTGCTGTTAACTGTCAGCCATCTCTGCAGCTCCAATCCCTATACTCTTTTTTTAAAAAATTATGTGTGTGTGTGTGTGTGTGTATGCACGAGTGCAATGCCCATGGAGGCAAGCAGAAGATGTTACAAGTGGTTGCGAGCCACTGTGTGGGTGCTAGGAACTGAATTCAGCGGACAGCAATTGCCACCAAGCCTGACAACCTGATCCGATCCCCAGGACTTACATGTGGAAGGACAGCATGGACTTCTGAGGGTTGTTCTCTGCCTTCCACTCAGGCACTGTGGGCATGTGAGCCTCAGCCCTCACAAAACAATATGTAGTAACAATAAAAATAACAGTGTGGAACTGTGATACTGACAAACTGGGTTCTACATTGATTGCTGAACCAGTAATTAATACAATATAGTCTGAGAGAACAAATAAATTTAAAACAAAAATCAGTAAAAAATTTAGAAAATAGTGTTCACTGTGGACTTCCTAGGATAACTCTAGGATCTTTGATGCAATGCATATAATTTTTATTAGTCTATAAATTTTTATTCAAGAATCATATCTCTCTGGCCAGGTGTGGTGGCACATACCTTTAATCCCAGCACTTGAGAGGCAGAGGCAGGTGGATCTCTGGGCCAGCCTGGTCTACATAGTGTACACAGTGAGTTCCAGGCCAGCTGGGGCTACAGGGAGACCCTGTCTCAAAAAAACAAAACAAAACAAAAAAATCATACCTTTCCTTAAGTAAATATATCTATAATTTTGTTATCTGTTCAGTAAGTAGAACAGGCCTTTGAGAGTGAACAATATGCTGACCAACTTTCTTAGGCACTCAGACTATTTGTTTATAGTGTAAATATAGCATTCTCCTGTTTTAGTTTCTATCTTCAATGACAAATGAAAGATCTAAAATCAAATTGGCTGTCTCTACAGCCACCCGCAGGCCACTAAGCTTGGCAGTCCAACAGTCCACGGTCAGGTTGCTGGCTGAGCCCACAGGTGCTTGGGGAAGGCAAGTTTGTGGTGCAAAAGGATGACATGTGCTTCTTAAGACAGACCAGCTGAGCTCTTCCTGGCTGTTGTGTAAACCACAGCCACATCGTGACAACAACTCTGGCCAGTTAAGGACAGAGGGAGGATGTGCTGGAGCTGACCAAAAGTGTCCATGCTTCATGTCAGTGAGGATTTCACCTCCATCATGTTCCAAAGAAGTAGCAACAGACTCCAGAGCACGGCAAAATGCTTCAGCAAGTAGCCGAAGCTCTGTTTGAGAACACTCCCCACCTCTGACAATGTCTTCTGTTCCATTATGAACCTAAAGAATAATAAAACCATCAAAAACACACAAAGAGCAGTTAATATACACATGACTCAGGAAAGCAGGGCACTTAACTCAGAAAGTTATCATTCACCTGAATTACCTCACGGTTTGGCAACAATGCTATCGGGCTTGTCTGAGTTCACTGGCCAGGCTGTAACCTGTATGTTCCCAGTCATGTAATCAGAATTAATGAATCAACTATGATCAGCTTATTCTGAATAGTGTCCTGGTTGTGCCTCCTTAAAGTACAAGGCATGATGCACAGACCATAGGATGATGCCTCCTTAAATAAACAACAAGGCATTGTGCATAGATCACAGGATTTTTTTATGCATATGGGGCAAAATTGCTGAAGACTAATATCCCAAATGAAGTATTTATTATATTAGCTAAATGACTGAGATCTTTTTTAAAATCAGATTGGAAAATTACAATTAAGACACTATTAAGGGACGTGAGCAATGTTCACCTCAATGTTTTAAAAATGAGAATTTTTTTCTGTTAGTTAATGAAAGGGCATTAAGATACCCCTCCCCTATCCCCTTAACCAGTATTTGCTCCCAGTATCATTTATTTATTTATTTATTTATTTATTTATTTATTATTTATTTAAAAAACCCCAAACCAGAGACCACATAGAGCTGCCAGTATGTGCAGGGTGTAGGGCCATCTACTGGATCATGGGAAGCTTTACAGGGTTCACATCCCTGAAAAAAACTGACTCTTCCTCCTCTAGCAGTCCTCAACTGCCAGTGTCTCCTTAGCTATGGGTGGGACTTTTGACCACCTTCCCCTTCCCCCATGCTGGGATTGTGGCTGTCTTGATCTTGTGCAGGTCTTGGGCATGCTGTCAGAACCACTGAGCTGATGTGTGCAAATGCCCTACTGTGTTCAGAGAACACTGCTCTGTTGTAGTCATCCACTGCCTCTGTCTCTTAAAATCTTTTTGTCCCCTCTTCTGTAACGATCCCTGAGCCTTGGGAGCAGGGGGATGACACAGATGCCCCATTTAGGGTTGAGGACTCCTTAGTCTCTTATTCACTATGTATTGACCACTTGCGGGTCATGTATTAATCACAATCTATACAAAAGGAAGCTTCTGTCAAAAAGCAAAAGCTGCTGGGAATTGAACTAATGTGAGGGTATCTAACTTACCCTGTGTCTGATATACGCAGCCAAATGTGTTTCAGTGCAGCCCCCTCCCAATAAAACCCATGGCTCCTTGATTGTGAACTGCAAGACGTGCAATGCTGTTTGACAGGTGAGCTAAAAAAGAAATCAGAAACTCACATCAGATACGTGAACCATACCACCCTCACGGCAATGTAACAGATTCAAGGAATCAGAATTAAAAAAAAAAAATTGTGTGTAGAGGAGGTACATGCCAAATGGAGGTCAGAGGAGAACTTGTAGGAGTCGGTTCTTCCCTTCCCCCATGTGGGTTTGAACTCGGGTCTTCAGGCTTGGTGGCAGGAGCCCTAAGTACAGAGCCATCTTGCCAGCCCAGATTTCTTTTTTGTTTGTTTTGAAATTTACCAAGTTAAATTTTAGTGAGTACTTTCTGTTCACATAAATGGAAGATATGATACCATTATGGATATGGTAGACAAATTGTTTATTTATTTATTTATTTTGTGTGTGCTGCACACAAGCCATGGTGTAAGTGTGGAGGTCAGAGGGCAACTTGTGTGGGTGTTAATCTTTCCATGTGTGTCCTGGGAATTGCATTCAGGTTGTTAGACTGGGCGGCAAGTGCCTTTACTCAGCCATCCGGATGGTGGAAAGAGCCAGATTTTAATCCACAAAGAACAAAATCTCTTTTATTAACGTTGTAATGTGACCAATACACATTTCTAATGAAGATTACAGATTAAAGAAGTACATTTTGGCCAGAAGTCTGTTTTCATGGAGCCAGATTAACATTTTCAAATCTACTTTGCTCACAAATGCATAGCCTAAAAATATCTGCATCAACAAGGTTTACTGGTATTTCTATTAAAAACAAAGTCTAAATAAATGAGTTATATAAAAGCTATAAAATTTACCTCAACGTGTTTAGAAATGATGTAGCTATAACATAGCAATAATAAAAATACTCAAACCTCTAATTAATCAAGCACACATGACTCTTTAAACTCACGATCAATTTCATAGGTTGCCACTTTCATATATAAAACTTGTGTTTTTCAGCAGAACACAATAAACTCTTCTAAGAAGAGATCGTGGGTACTGACTAGAAAATATACTTTCTTGGTGAATTATTCATATATATTAGTAGCAACAGTCCAGGCAAGCACAACCTGTGATCCATGAGCCACAAGCTTCTAGGATGGCTATGAATGATAATGCTGTATAGCAATGTCAAGGTTGGATACTGGATCAATTCAAATTAATTTCTTAAAGTTCATATCAAGAACCATTTAGGTTTCTTATAAATAGCAGAAATGATAAAGGGCAACAACTCACTTCAAGTTTACTAAACATCATGATTAAATTCGCTTACTTGTGCATTTGGCCTCCCTCCCCTCCCTTGGTGCTGGGACTAGATCCAGGGACTTGCATATACTGGGCACATGTTCCACTATTGAGCTACACTTCCAGCCCCCACTTCTGTCTGTTTTGTTTCTGTTTCTTATACGACTATGGAAACTACAGAAAAATGTCCAAAATAAAAACAGAACAAAACCACCTCAGCCTACAGTACCCATTGAGCGGCTGTCTTCCCACCTTAGGCCTTGGAAGTTCCCTACCTACCTTCAGCTCCTCCCAGGCAGTGTCATTTCTGTTGCAGAGAAGCAAGCTGCAGACGGTTGCTTCATTAGGAATAAGATGAAAAAAACTTTTGGAGCCAAATCTTGCAGGGCACAAATCTTTCACACTTCCGTAACTAGTAGGACATATTGAGCCTAGTGAACCGATAGGCGTTGTTCCTATTTTTGTAAAGTATAGAAAATATAAACTGCATAAGAAAAAGTAGAACCATTTAAAATACCAATAAACATTCATTTCTAGTCAGTATTAGAGCCCCACAAAAGCTTCTGATTTAAAATATGGGAAACTGGATGAACAAATTAAAATACTTCCTGTGTCTCTGAAATTCATATTCTATTTAAGTGACATAAATGAAACAGCTTTTTTCTTTTTTATGAGACAAGATCGTGGCCTGAAGTCCTGGCTGGCCTGGAATTTACCATGTAGATAGACCAAGCTGGTCTTGAACTTGCAGTGATCCTTACAGGTATGCACAGAACTAGCTTTTTTTGTTTGATTTTAAAATAGAGGTTCCTTTGGTTTGTGGAGTCATATTTTTCTGTTGCTGTGACAAAATACTCTGACAGAAGCAATTCGAGGAGAAAGGGTCCATTCTGGTTCATGGTTCCAGGTTCCAGTCCTTCACAGCAGGGATGTCACAGTGGCAGAACTTAAAGCAGCTGCTCTTATCACATTCATAACCAGGAAACAGAGGATCAAGTGTGCGCATGCTAGTGCTCAGCTTACTTTTTCCAATTTGTACAGTCCTGGATTCTAAGTCCTGAGAACGGTGACCCACAGTGGTGGGACTTCTACCTCAATGAATGCAATCAAGATAATCCTCCACAGGCAAACCCAAGAGACTCTCCTCCCAGGTGACTGCAGATTCTGTCAAGTGACAACACTAACCATCATAGACTCTCGTTTTTATTTGTGGTACTAGGGATTAAACCCAGGACTATGCCCATGAGGCAGGTGCTCTATCTACCACTGAGCTACATTTTCAGTCCTACAGAAACTCTTTGAACATTTGTTCAAAGTTATTTTGTATTTTTGGGAAAAGGCACACAAAAATTTGCATACGTTTTTAGGATATCCAGAAATCCTGAAAGCCTACTCAGAGACCAGAGACCCCACACGAAGGACCTCATTAATTTGGAAAAAGGGTGCTGTAGGGGAAAGGCTTTAAAAAAATCATTGTTTCGAAGCTGGATAGATGGCTCAGCGGTTAAGACCACTGACTGCTCTTGTAGAGGACCCATCCAGGTATGATTTCCAGCACCCACATGGTGGTTACGAACCATCCTTAGCTCCAGTTCCAGGGGAATCTGAAGCCCTCTTCTGACCTCTGTGGCACTGCACGACATAGGTGCACTCACATACACGCAGGCAATACACTCATACACATTAAATAAAAATAATAAATTTTTAAAAATGAAAAAAAAATCATTGTTTCAATGTAAAACAAATGACATTACCCAAATAATTCTGTCCTGAAATTTCTTTAGGGGCTCTATCTCTTTTACACACACACACACACACACACACAACACACACACACACACACACACACACACACACACACACACACAGCTGTTTATGTAAAGAAATAAACTATGTCAAAATAAAGATGATGACACATTTCACTTTGGTTTGTCTTTTTGAGACAGGGTCTCCCAGTAGCCACAGCTGTCCTGGAACTATGTAAACCAGGCTGGCCTCTATCTCACAGAAATCTGCCTGACTCTGCCTCCCAAGTGCTGAGATTAAGGGCGTGCACTACCACATCTTGATTTATTGGTTTATCCTCCAACCAGCACAGGTAAAATATAATTGGTCACATAAGAAAACTACACCCAACTTATATAAGAAATAATACTAAAGTTTGAACAACAAAACTAACTCAGAGCAATCCACTTCTTTGGAAGATTTTTTTTTTTTTTGAGAAGTTTCATGTAGTAGTCAAAGCTGTCTTTAAACTTGCTATGTAGCTCAGGACTGAAGGTGACCTTGTGCTCCTGATTCTCCTGCCTCTAGACCAAGTGCTGGGGTTATAGGCACATTGTACCATGTCCAGTGAGGCCAAATATCTTTAATTAATGGGCTCAAAAATTTTCATGTCATGTTCTAGTAACTGACTTTAATCTGGACTAGTGTAGAAATCCAGTGTACATTTATTACAATGGTGACATGGGAAAAGTTTCATGATGTAACCTAGTAAATATCCAGAATATCCACCATACATAAACTGGAAGCAGTCAGACCCATGGAAAACTAGTAGACATTTAAGGATTTATCTGTCCTACAACATAAAAAATGAACTTACAAGGATTATTTCCACAATTTCTTAATAACTTTCCTTTCGATAGTCATTTGCCGGCCTTACAAAGCAGGGTAACAACTGGGGTTAAATATTTAACACTTGGCATAAATGCTGTCCTTTTAAAATGATTTATAAAACTCTAAATAGTGAATTTTAACAATTGTTTATTTTAGTAAGTTGCAAATTGCGAGACCGGTGTAATATACTGTAGTTCTAGCTACTTGGAAGGCTGAGGCAGATTCCTTAAAGTCAGGACTTTACCAGCCTAGGCAATATAGCAAGACCCTGTTAAACAAAAGCAAACTACTGAAATCAATGTAGAAGTAACCAAAAATTTCTGACAGACTGTCAATACAGTTAGAGACACTGAAAAGTGTCAGGAACTCCAGCTTAAATTTGTTCTATTTATGTGCCTTCAGTCTGCTGAGCTTGATTCTTTGTTACTTTACATATAAATCCAGCAAATGTTTTTAAAGATCTGAGGGCCTGGAGAACCCGACAGTAGAGGATGGCCTTGGTTCTCAAGAGCTCAGCTAGAAATATTTTTGGTAAAGGTCAAACATATGCACATGTACCTGTTCCTCATTCCTCTCCCCAAATCAGGAATGGGATTTAAGTACATAAGCACAGACGTTCCTTGGTATTATGATGAAGAAAAAGGAGTATTCCAGCTATAAAATTATCTTCCTAATGTGACACGATTTAAAAGTGTTGCAGAATTTGCTGCAGAACACAAAAGCTCTTAAGATTACAAGAATGTTAAGACTTCTCAATTGCCTGTAAATATTTGAGCGTTAGATTGCAATGGACTACATTTGGGTCAGATAAGTAGAGAGAAAATGGCCACGGTCACTCTGTTTGCAGAAACTGAATAGAGGATCTTTTTCAGAAACAACTTTTGCTGTCAGTAGTGATATAGATGCTGTGAGGTTGGTGGCTGCTAAATAGTCCCAAGACGTTAACAGTGACACAAACCAAACACATCTCTTGGCTCAAAAAGTGACTTATTAATGTAAGGGGCAAAATCTAAGAGGTTTTTACCTGTCACTTTGCTCAGAGGTTCCATTAGAGTTACTCCAACTCTGTCGATGGCGATAATGTGATGGGCACTGAGGAACTGCTTAAAAGATGGATGTATAACTTTTTGGCACAGGACAAGATCTACGTGGTCACTGACTAGCTGCCTACCTAGATTAAGCAACTGGTCCAGAACTGCATTTTCAAGGGACACCTGGGAACTGACAATCACAGTTCCTTCTCCACAGTCAGAAAAATCTCCGGATAAAGACACACAAAAGAGTGCCACCTTGAGGGTGCTTGACTTTTGGACAGGTAATAACCTCCTTAGTTGAACTTCTGGCATTTCAATGAGTAGTCCAGGTAATACAGTAGAATCTATAACTCTTTGACCCTTTAAGGGCACAATTATAGTCTTTCCTAAAATGACATGGTCTTCAGTGCTTTCTGGAATTGTAAGCAAAAAAGCCTTCAGAATCAAAGCACTGATGTGATCTATTTCCTTTTTGCTGAGCATGCAGGCAGGTTTGCTTGTTAGAACACTGTGTACCAAGCAAAGGAAGATGTGGGTACTACTGAGGTCGACTGGGAGTCGACAACCACAGGTGTCAGATTTGAGATAATTTGTGCAGAGACTCAACAGGTAATTGTTTAATTTAATGACAATGGAGGGTGTCAAACCTGTTCTCTGAACATTTTCAATCAGGTTGCAGCAAAGAATGGCTGTGAATAGGCCGCAGTCACTGAAGCAGGACACGTGATTCTGCACAGATGTTGTCAGGACCTTTAATATGGGATGGCTGACTGAGAGGTTTCGAAGCAGGGCGGAGGACTGTGAGGTGGTACACACACACCCTCCTAGGCCGCTATGCAACTGCTTCAACCTCCCTGCAGGGCCATAACATGAGACTACAATTCCTTTCAAGACAGAAAGTGTGCCCCTGACTAGCTCACTTGTCAGTGGCTCACTGTTACACAATGATGGCTTCTTAGCTTCTAAACGAGACATCTTGCTTTAGGTGTGACTTACGAAGCTTTTGTTAACCATATTTTTTCTTTTTATTGTGTTGTCATCTGTTTTAACATTAAAATATGTCCTTCAGGAACGAAATCTGCATATGCAGCAGTACAGCCACAAAATCAAGTCGGAGTTTCTGACAATAATCAGCATAAAATAATTTAATAACATGCTAGAAATTCCAAGTATTCATTTTACTTCATTCTGTAACATCTTCGGTTTGTCTCTGGACTGAGACTTCACAGACTCTTTTGCAGCTCTTTGTAGGAAGTATGTTCCAAAATGGATGCCTATGAAAGTAACCCCAGCCACAAGAAGCCAGTTCTTTCTAATCCAACTGGGGCTCTTCATTCTTCTTTCAGTATCAAGCTCACATTCAAAGTTGCTTCTTTCTATAACAAAACATAAAAAAATTTAGAGGAACAATTCTAATACAGTTTATAGATTGCAATTAATACCCTGCTCCATTTTTTTTTTTTTTTTTTTTTGGTTTTTTTGAGTCAGGGGGTCTCTGTAGCCCCAGCTATCCTGGGACTCACTATGTAGACCAGGCTGGACTTGAACTCCCAGAGATTCGCCTGCCTCTGCCTCCCGAGTGCTGGGATTAAAGGCGTGTGTCACCACACCCAGCTAATATCCTGCTCCATTTTTACAGAAAGTATCTTAAACTAGGAATCTGGTCTCTGGGTCCTGAAAGAGCCAATGTTTTTATTGTTATTAAAAAAAATCATTTTGCTTTAGTTTGAAACTAGGTTTGAACAGAAGTTTATTTACATAAAATCTTGTTTGTAAATAATTATGAAAATAAGGTAACTGTAACGGCTAGTTTTGTCAACCTGATCCAATCTAGAATCATTGGGAAGGAGTCTCAATGACAGACTGCCTACATTAGATTGGCGTGTGGGCAATTGTCTCAAACTGTCTCAGTACGTGAAGACTGGCATACTGTGTGGGTGGCACCATTCCCTGGACTGGGGATCCTGGATTTTCCTGAATGCAGAGGGAGCTGAGCACTGGCTTGCATGCATTAATTAATTCACTACTCTGCTCCTGACTATAGATACAATGGGGCTGCATTCTGCTGAATCATCTGCAAAAGAATTACAGCAATGCACAAACTATCCTTTAAACCCTTGGGTAAGGTCAGAGTTCATTTTGTGTAGTTTCATGTACTAGTCAATGATTTGCAAACCCCCAGCCAAATATTTTCTTCCCAAAATGTTGGTCAATGTCAATAAGTTAAAAAACAAAAACAAAAACCAAAAAACTAAGGAATGTGCTTAATGAGAAAGGGAAAACTAGGACATGATTTGTAATTTGACTTCAAATTCTAAATATCACACAATGCTATCATATACCAAATGTACAAGTACTTTTCTTAGCATAGTAAACACTGTGCCTTGAGACAGAAAATCCTGACACTTCCACAATATGTGAAAATAAAAATTTCAGGTTATACACTCTATCTGTTGAGGCCTGATATTCTGAAGGTAAAGGTTTAGTTAATTATCAGTTATTTTCAGGAATGTGCTAATATGCTTGACACGTGAAGAGAATAAAACATTATACTAACCTCAAGCCACCAAAATGGCTCAGTGGATAACGTACCCATCACCAGCTGACAATCTGAGTTCAGACCCCAGGACCAACATGGTGGGAGGATAGAAGCAACTGATTCCCCAAAGTTATTCTCTGACCCCCAAAGTTGCACTGAGACCACTCCTCCCAAATAAACAAATAAAATTCTTTTAAAAATGTTAAAAAAAATAATACTAATCTCACTAGTTACATAAAGTGTTATTTTGGTTACTGTTTCTAATTTAGTTAAGCGTTAAAACCATGGCAACAAAGTTCAACTACAGTAAAGGCAATGATTTTTTTTTTTCCTTTCATCTGTAAGGACCTTTTCTTTACTAGAATGGAGGGAGGAGTTGGAACTGTTTCTCTTATGCCATAAACAGTCAAGATTTAAGAGTCATTTAAATGGTTAGTTTAGTTTTAACAAAATCTTAAATGAAGCCTAGCAAGGTAATTTTTGTATGGTGATTGGCACATGTTAAACCTCAGATGTAGCTTGGGCTGCCCTCAAACTTCCTATGTAATCAAGGATAAGTCTGAACTCCTGATCCTCCTGTCTTCAACTCCCAAGTGACAGGATTATAGACATGCTCTTCCACATTCAGCTTAATCACTCCATTTCTAAACAATGTGGTTGTCATTCCAACAGTTACCATCTGAGGTATGGCTCTTATTTTCCCTAAATGTCTGCTGGATTTTTTTTTTAATTATAGATAACTAAATTGAAATCATGGTAAAACTTAGATGATTGACTTCTAAATCAAGAAGACTGTAAAATATGACTCAAAATATAACTAGATTTAACTTTCTCATAAAAGGAATGAGTTCACTGTAAAAAATGGCTGATCTAGGCCTAAAGCAAGAAATACTCAAGCTGAACTTTCCACTAAGCATGTTATCAAAGACCTATTGGGCCACGCCAAAAGGAAAAACTGCCAACATAAAAGTCACTTAGAGATGATCCAGGAAGGGGCACCTCTAGTATTACACATGATGACTGTGATGTAGTAGCTGAAATGTATGTAAAAAACAAACTCATAGTGACATTAGAGCCAAAACTCTATACAGAACAGTAGCTCATCTGAAAAACCAACAAGGCATTTTATCTTACCTTTTCTGTATAAATTAATTTGGGGTAAATTACTGAGGAGCTAAAGTTGTTCTAGCTAATGAGTAAAGACATGGTAAAGAATTTGAGCAGCATTAGTTGGTACTTCTAAGGCCATGATGGATTGGACCAAAGAGGTTGGTAAATTAAGCCCATGAACCACAGGCATAGGCATAATATACAACAAATCACATTTCTGCAGTGAACCTAAAATTTCAGATTAAATGGAATAATCCATTGGCTCATGTCAGTTAAGATCAAGTCTTGCTATCAAAGGACTTATGACAAATGTTTTAATTTTTACAACTTTTCAGATTTTGGAATTGTGGAGAGGATACAGACCCAAATCACATACGCACGTCCTCTTGAAATCAAGGGTCTTTCAACACAGCAAGTTATTTTGAAACTATAAATGTAGTGAGCTTTATCTCAGAAAAAATAATGAACTATCTGGCTATGTCTTAAAAAACGTAGCAGGTAACTTCTCAGTTTAGGAGTTTTCTTGCCAGAGCTCTATAAAATAATGTTTCCCATTACTGGAGAGTAATGCATGGTTGACCAGATTTAATGGAACTTACCTGATAACTACAAGTCTGCTACTTCTCATGGATTTGACTCTTTGGTGGACTTGCAAGTGCCAGATTCTCTGGTTCCGAGATGTTGTCCTTATTAGGTATCTGGAAGACTGGGCTGCTTCTGATTTGGTGCCACCCCAAATGTATGAGCCCAATCACAGGAACCATAACTATCAGAACTTTGTAGTCTCTCCAGACATTCTGAAGGCTCATGTTCTATGGACATCAGAACACCTAAGATTACAGTTAAAGGAGAAAAGTAAAAGTAAAACTAACCTCAATACATAAGCTGTCTCAAAATCATGTCTACAAAGTATGGAGTACAGTTATAATACTGCGTTGTTAATTAACAAAGAAAGATGTGCCATTGACACAAAGAGAAAGCCAAAACTCAAGCTGAGAAAACTTAGAGAAAGGGCCTAACTTTTAGTCAGTAACTGTAAAAGAACATTATCTGCTAGGGAAGATATACAAACCTTTGAAAACACTTATGCCTAGCATATTCTTTTTGTTTTTGATTATTCTTTCTGATGTACAATGAAGAGCTTTTAAACATTCCTAATGCAATTTAAAATTATTTCATTCATTTTTGCTGTGCTATTTCTTTCAGGTAACAGGTCTGCTTCATTATCTATGGGAGTATGCTAAGAGTTTGCTTTAATTGCACATAGATACAGCTGCCAGTACTCTGGAATTTCCTAAACTGCTGTTTATTTTATATAAATGTTACTGGAAAGATGTCTAAATTTTTAATAAATGTTAGGCAAGCACTGTTCTACTGAGTCACAATCCAGCCCTTAATTTTCACTTTACAGCATGAGATTTAGTTACAAGTTCTGTGTGTTTTACTTTTTTGAAAGAGGGTCTTGCTGTGCAGCCCAGGCTAACCCTGAACTCCTTAGCCTCTGTCTCTGGAGTGCTGGGATTACAAGTACCTGTTACCATTCCTGGCTCTAAGTCACAATTTTAAAAGAATCAAATGCTACTCTTTAAGTATGCACTAAGAATTTACATTCCTTGCTTGACAGTGAACGTGAGAGTATTTCAGCTGGAGACTAGATGGTTAAGTCTGGATTCTAATTGTAGCAAAAGAACTTTGGTCTTGAAGCTTATAAGTCAAAATTACTGCTAATTCTATATTTATGTACTAAGCCACTGTTTTTTTTATTGTTTGCCTTATATTAGTAGTAACCTCCCCTACAGAGTTATTGCCAGTACATTATGCACTAAGATACTGGTGCTCAAAAAGTGCCTAGAGTTATAAAGTTGAAAAAGTATTTGAAAAGCCTGGCATGGGGTCTAGGAGAGCAGAGTTCCCATGATGCTGGGGTTTGGGAATTTGAATTTAGACAACCTTCAAAACCTCCCCATCCTCTCATGTTTAAAGGACAAGTGATTAACTAACTTACAGGCTGTGCTGATACAAGTGGCCCCATTTTGGAAGTTCACTTTTTTGTGCACAGGATATTAAAGACTATTTCATCATTATCAGAATGCTCAGAATTTGTTTCAAATACACTTATGAGTTTTAATACCACGAAATCTTCTAATTACTGTATATTTTGTACAAGTGTCACAAGAAAAATGTCTTAACTGAATTACTTATTCATTACCACTTAAATCACCATTACTATATAGCAGTAATGAGCCAAACAATGCTGACTGGCCTCTGTATATGCATATTAAAGATAAACACAAGGCTCCAAGTGCTCTAAGTGTTATTCTTATGTACACACAGCACACATTACTCCTTGGGGTCTATATAAGGTCTCTGCTGCTAAATTTAAGCTAATAGATGGAGAAAACACGACCTACTTTGTATCAGAAGCTTTGTTTTGGTTTTTTTTTTTTTTTTTTCCCTTTCCTACACTTTTCCCCTGTCCTCTATATTTTTTTTAAATTTTAAAAATAAAATTTTAAAAAATTCTTAAAAATTTTTTTTTTTCCTCTTCACTTTAGCCATTGTACAGGGTGACTCACTGGAAGAGATTTATAACAAAATCAAACAAATCATTGAGGACCAGTCTGGGCACTACATTTGGGTCCCATCCCCTGAAAAACTCTGAAGAATCCCCTCCAACCATTCTCTTGTGAACAGAAGAAATCAAGTCCCTCTTCCTTCCTCCCTCTTCATTCCTGTCCCCATGGGGAGAACAAATGAGTACTGTTCTTGTCCCCCTTTTTAGATATGTCAAAAATTGAGTTTTCTAGTCCTGTTCTTTTTTTAAAATTTTTGTTTTGTTTTGGGTTTTGTTTTTTTTTTTTTTTTTTCCCTTTCCTACACTGTTCCACTGTCCTCTATATCTTTTGTAAACTTTAGAGACTAAATCTTTAAAGATTACTTAAAATTTTCTTATTTAGGTATATGTATGTCTGCAACATGTGTGCAAGTACCCTCAGAGGTCAGAAGAGGGAGGTGAAACTCCTGGAACTGGAGCTACAGGCAGCTGTGAGCCACCTGACGTGCCTGGAACCACACTCCGTCCTCTGGAAGAACAGCAAGAGAATAATCTTTTATGGACATGCTTATGTTCTATTTTTGGAGGAAATCAATTACAAATAACTGTATCACTGAGTTGTTTAGAATTCTAATTAGGATTACTTCCTAAAGGAGGGATAGAGGCTGTGTGTTGATACCTACAAAATACCCTAAAGTTCTAGAAGGTTTTACCACAGTTTGTGTAAGTGTTCCTCCAAAGACTCACACATAAGCCAAAGGCTGGGCTGTCAGTCTGTGGCACTCCTGGGAGGTAGTTGAATCTTTAAGAGGTGGGACCAGTGGGAGGTCACTGGGGATGTGCCCATGAAGGGGATACTGGGGCCTGGGCTTTCTCTTTGCTTCCTGCCTGCCATGAGGGGAGCAGTTTCCTCTCCCATGCATTCCCACCAGTATTTACTGCCTTGCTACAGGTACAAAAGCAGGTAATTGACCATGGACTGAAACCTCCTAAACTGAGCTCAAATACACCTTTCTTATAATGCTGATTTATCTTCACTATTATTTTTGTCTCAGAAAGTTGAACAACATAGACACTGTCATTCATATCAAGTCTCAATACGTAAGATAACTTAGCACTTTTGGCTCTTGTCTTTTTTTTTTTTTAACTTTATTATATTTATGTGTATGAATGTATTGCCTGTATGTGTATAAGTGCTCCCATGTCATGCAATGCCCATGGAGGTCAGAAAACAGCATCAAATGCCCCTGAAACTGGAGTTACAAACAGTTGTTAGCCACCACATGGGTGCTGGGAATCAAACCCAGGTTCTCTGCAAGAGCAGCCAGTGCTCTTAACTGCTGAGTCATCTCATCAGGCCCCAACAATTGTCATTTTAAACATATGGTTATCAAGCCACATTGCTGTTAACATAAACATTTCTGCTATTATTTATTTCTCCATGTTCATCAATATAATTCAACAGCTGGCAGCCTTTTATTGAACCTCAATCTTAGGGGAAAAAAAAAACTGATAGAAAAGAGACTAATTTGGACAAAGGGACATAACAAAATTAGGATACCATAACTAAAATTAGTAACAAATTATGGTACAGCAATGTAACATAACAACATACAGGAAATGTTACCCTGCTGTCTGTAATGTAATACTCTGGGAATTTGAGAAGAGTAAACATGGGGTCTTAAACTAGAATCAAGTTAGCTTCCTAAATGCACTGATCTTTGGAATCACTTGTGGGTTAAAGACAAAAGAGGGTCTCTCTCCTTATATATACTGTGTTTAAGTCTATCAAATCTTTTCATCAAGGTTACCTTAAGAATCCACATCTCTTTTTCTACATTTAGATTTAGTTAAAACTGGGAATTTGGCCTGGCTCAGCGGGTAGGGGCGCCTGCCACGAGAAGTCTGGCAACCTCAGTTCAATTGGAGGAACTCTTGTAAAGGTGGAAGAGGGAACTGATTTCAAAGTCGTCCTCTAGCCTCCATATGGATGCCATGGCACACACATACACCATGCACACACATGACAAGAAGTATTTGTGTTTAAATGGGACTTAATATGAAAACTTTTTAATTGCCAAATATTGCCGAGGATCCATTCAGTATGTCCTAGTCAATAAATGATGTGGACTGATTTAAGGTCAACTATTTTATGTTTACCAGATACCTACATGTTCCCATTTTCTTAAATTCTCTGTATTTCATATATTGATCTGACTAATGGAGGTGATAGAGCAGGGAAACCATCTTCTGCCAGATTATTCTGTTGTCGTTTGAGAGGCTTGGAAAATGACTAAAATAGAAGACGGGCTTTTTATTCTGCAAAGTGCTTTTAGTCTTTGCACTTGAATCACATAAATCACCTAGCACCACACTGTACACAGAATATTCCACCTCCCCCTAGCAGGATGGAACTCACTCTTTAAAAGCACTGGCATGTAACTCCAACCTGCTTTGTTTCTTTCTCTTAACATGTATTCCATGTGTGGGCAATAGCCCGATAACCAACTTGCCAGTTGCAGACATATTAGACTTAACTAAATAAGGCTCCTTGCTAGTTAAGAAAAAGACAACATAGTTTTAAAATTTCGTATTTGATATAGCAGTGACTGAGGTAATAACATGCTGTTTTGTTCATATTCTCTCAAAAAACTTTTTCACATAAGCATTTTACTTAACACTATTTCTTCTCAGTTTTCCTTTGATATACTTTAAAATGAGTATTAGTATTTCTCCTTTTTAATAATATTGAGTCACTTTTAAAGTTAGTAAATAAACAGATCTAAAATAATTTTAGTTGTATCAAAAATGTGAACCTATCATTTTATAAATGTACATAATATAATTCTCCATTGTCACTTTCAATTACTGCAGCATTTGATATGGATCTAATCTGACCAATCCTCCAAATGATAGAAATTTGAGACGTTTTCAATGCTTTATCACTATTACTCTTGTTAGTCTTGATTCCATGCTCACAGTCTCTATATGCTGTTTCTCAGGATAATTTGAAGAAAAAGATTACCTAACAAATAACTGATTTTTCAAATGAACTTGACATTGCTGAGTAGCAGGGAGACTGGGAGATCCAATTTGGGAAACAGAAAAGCTAAATACAATTTACCAAATTCCAGAGTGTGAAACAAAAATCTCTTAAGAATGTGGTCACAACAATCAGATTTAATGAACAGCAACAGGCTAGAATAAACTAGTGCTTGCTGTTCACTTAACTTTTCAAGTTTGGATTAAATTAACACAACCGACAGGAAATGTCCC